CTAGGATGACTTGAGGGTGAGTAATTTATGGGCTAATTTTCATTTTTGGGTGAACTAACCCTTTAATAGGTACATTTACCCTAAAGCAATTCTTTTAACCCAAAAAGCAAATTATTCTAACTTAGAACTGGTTCTCTTTAAAATAAAATAAAAATAAAAAACTTGTGTAATCCCACGTAGGTTATCTGTTATCAGATGCACATTTAAAACTGGAATATAATCTAATTTCAGTCACTTGTGTTTCATAAACACAAATGTTTTGGATTACAATTCGCCATCAAAATGATGTTTAATTATTCCAGCTGCTGTGAGAAAAGGCTATAAACGATCGGCCACCTGCAGGATCTTTACATGGGATATAGGGCCCGTTTTACTAAACAGGGCAAATTAGCGCGAGAGCGCAATTCTAAAAGAGTGCCGATGGGCGTGGAAATTTCTGTGGGTGATTTTACTAACAACATGCAAATTAAAGAACACAGACGCAACAACGCAGTATACCAAGCGCAGAGCAGTCGCAAATAAAGAAATAAAGAAGCCATAGTACGTTGAAAAGAAGCAGAGGCCAAAAAAATCTAGAAGTTGCAAGAAGTTTTGATAGACCTTGTATTGCATGACTCCTAGTTGAGGGTTCCAAGTCATCTTTTATTTCCTGAAGCAAATGAAAAATAATATGGCTTGGCAAACGATATGTTCAGACAGTGTGTTCTTCTGGCATTCCAAATAAAATTAATATGTGTGGAAATATTTGTATGCTGTATATTATTATTGATTTACATAGCAATACTACTACTACTACTAATAATAATACCAGGATGGTTAAAGCAAAAAAAAATTTGTCCAAATAACCCAACAAATTAGTTATTTTTTAACCCAATGCATTGGGTTACTAACTTACTACCCAATCCATTGGGTTAAAATAACCCAACATTAGGTAGGTCCTATAGTAACCCACCATTGGGTTATCTGTTGGGTCATTTTTAACCCAGCTATTTTAAGTGAGTAGTCAAGCTTTACCATCTACATGACAATAATTGAAATTCCACCAGCTAAAGTAAAGAAAGAAAATAAAATAAAATAAAAAAATGCTCTTCTCAAACACAAAGTAGGCTATATAATAAAAAACTGAGGGTTTTAAATTAATAAAATAAAATAATAATAAAAACTAAATATAGCCTGCATGCTATACAGTCACTTTTCCACTTAAAGTTCAAGTAAAGGCAGTGTCTAACTGTTCAAATGTCTAACATCTCACAGAAATCGCATCAAATATTGCTTCAACACATTTTTCATTTGGGCTGTAGTGTTTGTTGTGCACTTTTTTTTTGTGCTAAATAGATTAAAAAACAAAAAAAACATTGTACTCTAGTTACGGAAATATAGCATAGCCTTTTCCCCATCTAGTCATGGTCTCCACTAAGACAGAAACTATGAGACGTCTGATGTTTGAGTAACGTTTGCATTGCACGGGAACATGAATAAATTTAACCCGCGTTTCCCTTGAATTGACATCTGCCCCATTTTGTTTGGTGTTTTTCTTCGATTTGGTCGTTGGGTGGCGCAATCCTCTGTTTGTAGTGCTCAGGAAAGTGTCATCGGCACGCAGAGCTCAGCTCTTTAAAAACTGACAAACTTTTACTACCAAAGTACTAGCTCTACACCGCAGCGGCGTCCTGGTACTCCCTGTCCTAACGCGAGTGAGCGAGACCCGAAACAGTCTGCTATGAGAAAATGTCCGTGAACGAAGTATACGTGTTCCAGCCGTTCAAACTGATCGCTCTTCTCTGCGTGTTTCTCGCACTTTGCTTGGACATTGTCTCTCTCCTGAGCCCCGCGTGGGTGACGGCGGATGGCTACGCGCTGTCGCTATGGGAGTCATGCAGGGAGATCGAGACCGACTGGAGCTGCATCTCCACCCTCAAGTCTGGTAAGAAGCCAAATATGGGCAGTAATGAATTTGAAAGGAGAGAAATGCATGCTGTTAAAAATATGGTGATCATGGCATTATATGTTAGAATACAATGCTGGTGTTCAGTTGTAAATCTTGTGAACGATTTTACGGCTTGGGGATGACAAACAAACAAAAATAAATTAATTAATTAATGAAAACTTCCACAACGACTATTATTGATTGATTCTCGCAGCAGCGACAATTGACATTGTATTGCCATGATTTGCTTTGTTTGCCTGTTGCACGTGGACTCTGTAAACAGATGTTTAAAATAGCGAAGACAAACCCATAACGTGGCGATCCGCCGTTTCGGTTTAATATAACAATATGCTGTTGCGATTCCATTTGGAAATGTACGGGATTTACGGTGGGTAACGTCACGGATGACCAGATCAAACAATAGGTGATATGGCAAGCCGATTTAGCTTAAAATATTCCCAGCGTTACTCGTGGTAATTGCATTTTTTACTAGGAACAATTCAGTTAGAGAGCTCTACAATAAAATGTTTACTAGTAGGGATGTAATGATTCACTCAATTCATGATTTGATTCGATTTACGATTTTGATTTCACGATTCGATTTTCTCACGATTAGTTTAACAAAATGAGACTGAAGACATTATACATTATACAGGTGTCGTTTTATTAGGCTATTGCTGCACGTTTCTTTGTGAAATTGAAATATAACAAAACTAAATTGAAATTTTAAAACAAACCCCAAATCAAACAAGTAAGTTACACAAATAAAAGAAATCTCTTAATATGAACAAACAACTACTACTATATGTAGTTGTTTTTTGGTGTTTGGCTTAGTGTTATGTTAGAATCATTATTATACTCATACCTTTTGTTCTTTTAGTATTTTGAATTGTTTTTAGCTTGATTTTTTTTGTTTTCATTGAAATGTTTAGTTTTGAAATGTTGTTGTATGCATTTGTCATTTTTATTTAATTTCTTTTATTTTCTTAAATGTGTACATATATAGTATTTATAGAGTTTTAGCTTTTAGTTTTAATTACTTTTTCTTATTTGTAAGTCGCTTTGGATAAAAGCATCTGCTAAATGACTAAAAGTAAAAGTAAGGCTTTGTCTGTGCTCTTTCCATTTGAAATTAGAGGCAACCACTGGATTTTAATCACGATCCAAACAAAGATGCAGGCAGCATACATGCAGCACGAGTACTTTTTAACCCTCTGGTGTCGACGAACGCGCCGGCGTGTTTTGTGGCATTTTTTCCTGATAACGCCGAAATGAAATGAAATTACTCTGTCATTTTTGATCGTACAGATAAGAGCAATACATCAATGTCCATAGAAAGCACATTAAATGTAAGTAAAGTGTCTACTTTTAAGGTTTCAAATAAGTTTTTGGAGGATACATTGTCAAAATTTGGTTGAAATAATGTTACATTGTCATTCAGTGTAACACAAAGTTTATGTAAAAATTCAAACAACATGCTTATTCTGACGTGTATTAAAATATATAAAAGAATAAGAGCATATTAAATTTCATTGTGTTTTAAATGAGTAAAAAATTCTTACTGACAAATGTGACCCTGGACCACAAAACCAGTCTTAATTCGCTGGGGTATATTTGTAGCAATAGCCAAAAATACATTGTATGGGTCAAAATTATAGATTTTTCTTTTATGCCAAAAATCATTTGGATTT